GTGTGCGTGTGTGTGTGTGTGTGTGTGTGTGTGTGTGTTTGCGTGTGTGTGTGTGTGTGTGTGTGGCCTTTACATGTCCTATGTAAATTGTTTCTTTCCCCTCAAACCAACCACCCTTCTGAGATCAACTTTGTGTACTCTTTAATGCAATTTTAACCCTATCCATACGCCTTGGGGTCATTTTGTACCCCCGGTGTTGTACTCTTCACATTTTAGAATATTTCTAGTGTGAAGATGTCTTTGAAACTTTCAGTATTTCTCAAAAAACCATTATGACAGACTGCTATGTAAAGCGGATACGGATCGGATTACCGAGTAAATTTCCTCTTTGAAAGTGGTGGCACAGAGTTCCCCACGTAGTATGGATACAGTTATAAAACACGACGTACGGATAGGGTTAAGTGGCTGGTTGATGGACGCCACTGACAGCTCCTACTTCCTTCCTGTCCCTCCGTTGTTTCTGTCTGTTTTTTTCTCGCCCCTTGCACCAAATGGCCTTAGCTACCTGGGCGATCTGTTTCTCTCTGTTAATACAAACAATTCGCTCATTTATACATTGTACATTGCACTTTTGTTCTCACCATCTTCTATTCAGTGAAATGTTCCAATCTTTGTTCTGAATCACCGATATAATCCACAGCACAATGCGACATTTCCTCTAACCTCAGCCTAGCTTTCCCGAGCTCTCGGTCACAAATTCGTCATTTTGTGCTAATCCTTCCTCTCAATTATCATTCCTCACCTTCTGCTCTTCCCCATTTCCCTTTCCCGTGATAATCATAGTAGTAATACATGTAATAACAATTAGGTTTTAACTGCATGTATACATCGTACATCTATGTTCTACAGCAGGCTCATTGAGTTTTACAACTTTTATTACCACAAAAGACTCTAGGATAATAAGAAACACACTCAGATTCCTGGGAAGCATATAGTGCAAGCAGTAGATCAAGCGACTAACTGGCACGATCTTTCGCCGTCTATAGTCGGTAATTTTAACCATTCCCATCTTAGGGGAAGTGAGGAAAATTTTCAAGGACACAGCCTCGGGTTGCTATGTGTTTGAATCCACAACCTTTCGGTTGCTAGCCCAACAGTCTAACCGCCAGACTATCGACGCCATATTCTCCATAACACCCCCCCCCTTACCGCCACAAATGGCCCTTTTACCCGTTTCCTTTCTCTTCTTCTCCTAGCTCCTCTCTTTCCCGTCTCCTTCACCCTCGCCCCGTTTGTTGCAACCCTCCCTCACACACAATCCCGTGGGCATTAAATATTTCCCTTCTTTTCCCTTTTTTTTACAACCCCACCTCCCTTCCCAAACTACCCCATACATGCTTCCATTTCACCTTTCTCCTCCGCCACATGCCTTCCCTTTCCTCCCAATTCTTATCTTCTCCCCCACCCTCCTTCCTATTTTTTATTATTTGCCACTATAGCTTCAACACTGGCAGCATTGTAAGCAAACACACATACATTCATCTGCTGTTATTTTCATTCTCATCTCTGTCCACGTAACCTAATCCTTGACCCTATTTCGGACTCCCTCACACTGCCTCACACTTACTCTCACCCCTGGGAACGCACCCACGAAAACACGAGCATGCGAAGCACCCACTACAGGACCGTGCACTCGAGCAGCAAAATAGAAACGCACGACTTAATTCGTGAGTAAAAACATCTGTGTGTTACTCTCTCCCGACGTACGTTAGCCTGGCTGTGAGATTCTGCGAACGTCTGCTATGTCTCGTCACAGACCCAATGTGATAGTCTGAGCTGTATGCCAATTTAATGAGAACAGACGTAGGAAACTGTGTTTTTTCCCCTCTAAAGTGTAAAATTCACATGCATGATATATATTATCAAGTGCGAATTTAAACTAGCGAGCAACAAAACAACACAATGAGTCGGTACGGTTTCATACATCGCTTTTTGTTCTGGTCACTGTGTGTTGCTGTTTTTTCACAAGAACCTCCCACAGACCAGTTTACAGGGTTCCAGCCTATCAATTCTGTCCACAATGTAAGTTTTTCTTTCCGTTGTACGCTTTCTTCTGTTCTTAGCCTAAAGTTTTAAACATTGTAAAGAAGACTGTGTTGTTATCTTGCTGTTGCTGTTATTATTGCTGTTGCTGCTGTTGTTGTTGATGGTGTGTTTTTTTCGGGGTGGTGTTGCTTTGCTTTTTACATATTAATATATACGTCTATTTAAATTGTTATATTTCTTTCTCAATTTCTTCTCATAGCATTAGTATGAGTGCAGTACAGTAAAAATGGTTTAAAGGTAAAATTATTCAGTTTAAAACAGAAGTAATTAACATGTGCCGGGTACTTTTTCCCCCGTAAAGTGCACAGATTAATATTCTGGTGAGAGTAGCGATTATAATACGCTTGTGACCTGAACATTTGAATTCTAACACACAATATGCTTCATTGTACATGTATTCTATCTTGACTTTTGTATCGATTTCAGGACTCGGTGCCATTTACAAATTACGTTGGAGGTTCCGAGTTCTTCGACTTCCCCCCAGGCGAGGGTCTGCCACCAGCATCGAGCAACTTTGTCTTCTGGCCCGGAAACAATCCAGAGTTTGTTGACGAAGAAGGTTTAGGAAATCAATTTTTGTTTTTCACAATTACATGTCAATGGCTCTGTGTGTGATGAAGAAGGTTTAGGAAATCAATTTTTGTTTTTCACAATTACATGTCAATGGTTCTGTGTGTGAAGAAGAAGGTTTAGGGAATAATTTGTTTTTCACAATTACATTTCAAGTGTTTCTGTGTGTGTGAAGACCAGTGTTTATTTGGTTTCTGAAAGGTTTTGCTCAAAGTTACTTCAAATTTATATCCTGACGTAGGGCTCTTGTTACATGGGACAGACTTCTTGGGACAGAGAACGAGGAGTCCTGTCTGGACCTATCAAGAAGTACATGTATTGTTTTTTCTGTATTGAGCTACCCGCATCTCTCCCCTCCCACCCCCCTTCTCTCTCTCTCTCTCTCTCTCTCTCTCTCTCTCTCTCTCTCTCTCTCTCTCTCTCTCTCTCTCTCTCTCTCTTCCTCATCCCCCTCTCTCCCCTCTCTATCTCTCTGTATATACATAAATATATATATATATATATATATATATATATATATATATATATATAAAAATGTTCAATGATTTGTTGTCAAATTTTTTGCTCTTTAATATTTTCACCAGATGAAAACAGCATTGACAATCTGGCACCCCACCTGTCTGAGTGCGACCCTCTAGACAATCCTTGTGAGCAGGTTAGTATTTTAAATTTATAGAAACTACTTGTCAAAACAGGACAAAAGCTGATTGAAGAGTTCTAGTTTTTGTCCCCTCAAATGAATTGATGTTTTTGGATAATAGTGATGCTACAATTGTTTTTGGATACTTTAGAATACGAGGGGTTGAATACCCCAACCCTTTTAGTACAATAAGATTAGTCAAGAAGCAGGACTTCCAAATTAAAATCCTCTCCGATATCTGCTCAGACAGAGCCAAGTAAGAGGAGATCAATAAAAACTTCCGTAACAGTCCAAGTTCTGAAATACCTCTTAGGTACTCCAACATTATGGGCCATCTGCATTCAAGTCCAGCATGATACAAACTAAGCTAGTAGAGTGACTACTAAATACCGTCAAATCTCATATTAAGTTATTCTTGTAACTGGCTTTGCTGATGTCTTAAAGTTAGGGCTTCACTGTTAGCCCTATTTCGTCCTTGATCACAGAAATCGATGAAGGGCTGCTTCATGAACAAGGGCTAGATTTCTACTGAACCTTTTCCCATGTGGAGAAACCTTCTACAGCTTACAGTATGTGAGGAGTGAAGAACGATCTTTGGGACTGTACACCCTGGAGATTATGCATTTTTTCCAGATCAAAGTTTATTTTGTGGTTCGCCGGACTGAGGATAAACTAAGGCTCTTGACACTGTTTTGTGTTCTGATATTCTTGGTTTTTTTTTTTTATGTTCATCTTTTTTGCTTTCTATATTTAAGTTACCATTTAAAATGGAATTATCCAAAAGGACAAATTCAAAAATAGTTTCTGTTCCTTACACTGATTCACCAGGGCCTTCTATTGCCTTATGTTACTTTTTGTAGATAAATTACTTTGCACAGTGAAAGGTAGTGAAAAGTTCTATAAAAAGTGTCCCACTAACATAATTATGCTTGCAATGTTCACTTTTTTTTGTCTTAGTGTTAGGCCCTTGTTCAATTTCTCTAAACACAAAAGTGAAACTGTGTAGTTTTGGTGTCATGTTACAGAAGATACCCCCCAATAGGCTCCCTTGAAGTAATCTCTAAAGACAACAATGAGGCCAGTTATTCATGCATACTGTATCCTCTTCTAAAGAAAACTGAAAATGTTAGGAAGTTTTGTTAATAAGTTCACACAGCACACACTGGGACTATTTAAAAGTGGAGTAAACCTGTCATTACTATATCACTTTTAGATTTGCTACCTGATTGGGATTGACACAAAGATCTGTGACTGCCATCCTGGCTATGCCTTGCTTCCTGATGCAGAAAGTTGCAGAGGTTAGTTGTGCATAGAAAAAAAAAGTCTAAACAATAACTCCCACCATATCGCTACTTCAGAATCACAAAGTTCTTTTGGACGTTTTTGGCTGTTTTGAGTCACTAAGACCATGAAGTCAGAAAGCAAATGCTCTATCTGCTCTATCAAAATCGTAAGAATGTTCGGAGTCATTATCTAGATATTTAAAGAACTGCATTTGAAAAGGCTTAACACATTGTGAAACTAAAACATTTTTGACGGCAAATTTCTCAAAGCTAGGTAATGAGCAGATGGAACTTTGTAGTTCTGAGGTAGCAATATCTTGAATGTTTTTCCTGGCAGATTCCTCAAAACTCATGTTTTTGCTGTATGTGAGCTTTTAATGTGTGCTATCACTAGCATTTCATTTCTTACTTCTGCTAACTTTTATGCACAACGCACCAAATCCTACCCTTCCTGATTCTGTAACTTTCAGAAAATTGTACATGGTCTTCAGGTTAGTCAGTGAAGTCAAAGATTGTACACTATAAGTTGGGTTTGTTTAATTTTGATACGAACAAAACATCATCACTAGCGCTGGTGGTGGATGACAACTAATAAAAGTGAGTTGAATGTGTTTTTTAAAATAAAGTGACATATCGATGGCTGAAAGCAAGAAGTGACAATACAAACTTTTGGTCGAAATGGAGTTATTGATATGGGTAGTTAGATTTTAAGCCACTCTTTTACCTTTATAAATATCGAAGCCATCGCTGAATTTGGTATTGAGATATAAACGTTTCTTTTTTAAACTATTTTATAGAAATTTCAATATTGTCAAAATTTCAAATCCTTTTTTCTTGAAACTGTGAAAAGTGGATATAGTCACTTCTTGCTCAGCTGTCGATATATTGTACCAAAGAAAAATAGAAACAAAGATGGTTCTGAAAGAACTTTTATATAAAAACAAAGAGAAACTTTTTTGCAGTGCTGAGCTGATGCTTATATTTGTATTGCTACACACAGATTACCAAGGACACTTGTTTAATGTATTGATGTGTCTTATAACAGAATCTTTAATGAAATTGATGTAGGCTATCATGTATACTACAAGACATTTGTTATAAATTCCATTAGATTAATTGTACCTTGTCTTTTTTGGACATCAATTTTCTTGGAAATGTTTCTATTGTCTGTGTTAGAACTCTTTAACTACCCTGATTTTATTAATGCTTTTGTAGATATATACCTTGAAATACCTCTAATTGTTTTAGATAATTTGTGTTTTTCTCGATACAGGATACTTAAAAAAAAAATTTAACAATTTTCTTTTCAGATTTGGACGAATGTCTTCTGGGTTTGTGTGGAGAACATGGTTTGTGTGTGAACACACCGGGGTCCTTTGTGTGTACGTGTAACACGGGGTTTGTGCCTGATACTGGAGGCTTTTGTAACGGTAAGATATGTTGTTGTTAGTGTTGTTGTTAGTGTTGTTGTTAGTGTTGTTGTTGTTGTTGGTGTTGTTGTTGTTGTAATTTTTATTTTTGTAATTGGCCTAGTGGTATTTAGCTACTGCTCTTTTGGCTGTACATTTAGTGGTGAAGATACAATGAAAAACTCTGCAACTTACATAGGAATGTTGGAATCTTTGAAGATTTTTTGTTTCTTAATCATTCTCTGGTCTTCTACAATATTGTCTTGGACTTTTTATTTTTATGGATGTATGCTTTTAAGACATTTTTTCCACACATGCATGTTTCATAACAAAATGAGGAGTTCTGAAAGTCTTCTACTATGGTCCTTTCTGATGATCAGATGTTGCCTCCTAAATGAAAATATTGTTTTTGTTTTAATTTCATGGGAATACAAAGACCTCGATGAATGTCAAGACACCGAAATTTGTGCCGGAGATTCAGTTTGTGAGAATCTACCAGGGAGCTTTGTTTGTCTCTGTCCTGAAGGCTTCACGTATGAGGACACAGGCTGTGTTGGTGAGTTGTTTATTTTTTTGGGGGGGGGGGGGGGGGGGGGATTTACTATCCTACTAGACACAAAGAATAATTCTAAAAGAAAATTCTTGATCCAGTTATTCAAGTAAAGGAGTAAGAAAATAAGAAGACTGATAGCTTGATTGATTTTCCAAAAGAAAAATGTATCAATATAAGTAATGGTCAGTAAGTGCTAGAAAAGAAATGATGATGGACTGACAGAAGCATCAGAAGGGTATGGAAGAAATAAAAAGCTGAAGTTGAGTCCCCTTAACTCTTTATCTCCTAGGGGGGTAAACCCACTATGCCAGGGCCCTTTTTTTGGTGATAAATCTAAAAATGACAAAAACGTAGTTAAATCGGTCATTAAATCAAAACTAGCAAACCTATTTTGATAGTTCTTCATCTAAAGAATGAACTTCTGGTATAAGAGATCTATTTTTGTCCGAAAAATAATTTTATGTCGAAGTCGCCGTAAAGGAATGTGCCCGAGCCGCTGTCAACGGCTCATCGGCACAGGGGTTCCGACCACGAGCCACTGGGAGCGGCTTGCCGGAGAAAAAGAGTTAATATTTATATCTAGAAAATTTTTTTTCACCAAAGTGTTAAAGTTCATTCCTTAGTAAACTTTGTGAGCAACAGAAAGAAACGAGGGGGGAGGGGGGGGGTTAAAGTATAATAATTAAAGACAGTTACCATACTTCATCTGCTATGCTTTCCTATTATCTTTCATTCATCTGTAACGAGGAGTAACCACATACTCTCTCCAATCAAATCACAAATATTTTAAAAAATTAACCGCATTTTAAATGGCACATCACATTCACTTTCATTTTAACATCATGAAATTATCGATAAGAAAGATACAAAGAAAGTTCCCTGCCATCTGGGATAAGGCTGCTGTTGAAATAAACATTAATGTATATTGCTGTTGATTTTTAAAAATCAATGCACATAATATGCATGAATACATATCGGTGACTTTCAAAATCTGTATTGGATTCCAGCATGTAGTTTAAGATATTCATCTGATGTGGTGTATTGTATTATTGTCAGCTTTTATTTTTCCCTTCATAATGAAATTCTTTTATGAAAATAATATACAATCTGAATTCTGTGAGTTTTTAATAATTCCTGTAAAGCCACAGAAAATTTTCTACTGAAACAATAAAGCATTATCTTATCTTATCTTATCTTATCTTATCTTATCTTATCTTATCTTATCTTATCTTATCTTATCTTATACACATATGTCTTTGCATCCACACTCAAGAAAACACTCACATTTGCAGAGGCACACACTCACACAATGTTATGCTTTTATAAGCACACACACTTACACTTTTATGTGTGCTCACAAAATTAAAACATCAGACATAAATAGATAATAATAGATAGCATTTGTATAGCGCATATCCCCGCTCAACAGCAGGCTCTATGCGCTTTACACTATATTATTACCCCAGCAGACCATAGAACACTCCGAAACATTCTCAGCTTCCCGGGAAGCATACAGTGCAAGCTGCGGATTTCACGCGCTCAAACACTATCAAACTGACAAGATCTTTCACTGTCTATAGCTGGGTACCCATTTCCACCTGGGTGAAGTGAGGAAAATTCGTGTAAAGTGCCTTTCCCAAGGACACAACGTCGGGCCCCTGACAGGATTCGAACCCACGACCTTACGGTTGCGAGTCCGAGAGCCTAACCACTAGGCCACCGACGCCGACAGACATCATGCAGACAAAGAGAGGCTCTTTTGAGTATTAAACAGATTAGTGTGTTGTAATAACTGTAGGTAACAACCAGGCTCAGAGCTTTAATACTGATATCTGTGGTTCAGTGGCTACTGCATCCAACTCAGACAAGGTTGGCCCTGATCGGCATGATCAAAGTGTCCGGCATCATACAATCTAAATTGTGGAATGTATCCACAAAGCATTTTCCTTTAAAGCCATTCAAGGTTTGAATTTAAATACAGAGTTGATTTCTGAATGCTTTAGGTCTATGTGGTTTTTAAGTCTTGAAAGCAGAAAACAATTAATACTTTTCTACTTCAATGGAGGCAAGTGCTTTATTTTTTAGCACTCCATATATCAGTCTGAAGATGTTTATTTCTGCAATTTGCCTAATTAATAAGAATGTGTGTAGAACACATGTGCTTGAGTGAACACTGGTATTATAATGAAATATATCAATACATGTAAATATTCTTAAATATGTGTGTGTGACATGTTCTCTTAGGTTGATTAAGCAAACTGTGAAAATCAAACTCTCAACCGTCCCTAAGAGGAGAGAAACAGGTTAATTATTTACAACACTTTGTGTTGTTCTCTTTTCATCTGCCACTGCCGGCTTTTCCCTTCAGATGTGGATGAATGCCGTCAAGGGTTATGTGATGAGACTGCACTGTGTGAGAACTTCCCCGGAAGCTATACGTGCAAGTGCCTGGATGGATTTGTCAAAGTTAACAACTCTTGTTTCGGTAATTCTCTCGCATCTGCTCTTGTATCTTTTAAGTGTTTGAAGATCATTAAAATGTGATGGATTTTCTGCCTTCTTTGAACTCAACATTCATGCCCCTTGGAACAGTCCACTTTAGGTACTCGAAACTTTCATTTGCTTTGAAGATTATTTATTATTCTTTTAGAAGAGCAAAATAAACTGTCTCCAAATGCCAGGTCTGAAACAGACATACGCGATCAGTGTTTGCCCTTTATTTCCTGCTTAGCTGCTGTAAAAAACTTGTATTGTCTTGGTTTTATCCTGTCGACCATTTGTTCAGATTGTAATAGTAAGCTATTCTTGGTCTGCCTCTGTCTCTTTTGCCGTATATTTTCCCAGTTAGAGCATCGAGTCAAACTCTACTAAAGTATTAAGCAGTCAAGATTTATCTCATCCTTATAACAAAACATCTTCAAACCAACTTTTAGCTTCTCTTATATTTTATTTATTACTTTCCTTTGAAATTTAAGTGGAAACCCATTTGACAACTTTAATGTCTCAGGAGGTTCATTCTCTTTCAGCTTCATTTCAAAGTATAAGAAATTTTCTTTCATTTTTATGGATCATTCTTGCTCACAGTGTTTTTCTTCACCAGAGCTGTAAGGTGAGTTCTTGCTCACAAGATTTCTCCTGTAATTTGATTTCTAAAATCTCAATGTCTGCATGCAATTTCTATCAAATGTCTGTCCTTTTTCTGTCTACAGACATAGACGAATGTCTCAGCAAGCCTTGCAATGGAAGTCTGATGTGTACCAACTCCATGGGCTCGTTCACCTGTGCTTGTCCTGCTGGCCATCGCAGGGTTGGAGATGAGTGCTATGGTGAATTGGGGGGATATTGTTGTCTGATAATTGGTTGCTTTTAAGGACAAGCGAGCTAACCAAGATTTTGGACGTTTCCAGAAATCTTGACCTACACCAAAAGTGGGCATTGCCCTACCTATAAGAGAAGTTTGGTTTCATTGGTGTGTATATTTGTTTGCTTATAGAGAAAACTCTCCTTGTCTTTTAAAGAAACTGAACAAGGGACAGAAACTTTACCTCCGATTTTCTCAAAACAGCATTTTTCTGGATAGCCCCCTTGTGCTTAAAAGCAACCAATTAATGTCACTTAATGTTCTTGGATATATTTGTGTTGGTAATGCTTATCATATGTGGATGATATTATCTGATAAGGTTGTCTGGATAATGTTGGATAAATTTGTGTTAGTAATGCTTATTACTGAATATCATATGTGGTATTATTGTCTGATAAGGTTGTCTGGATAATTTTGTTTATGTTGTGCTTTGATAGTATTGTCAGATAATGTTGTCAGATGATTTATTAACATTATAGAAAATGTGGCGTGATAGTGTTGCTGGATGATGTGGAGGGTGATGTTATATGGTAAGATGTTGGATGATGTTGTGCTGAAAAAGTAATTTGAGTTTGTTTTTATATACTTTTACATAGATAGTGTTGTTTTGAAGAATATAAGAAATAGTAGGCCTTTTAGTGAACGAACACACTCACACACAAACACACACACACACACACACACACACTTACACACATATTCAACAGGTTTGACTATATGTTAATTAACCATCTAGAGCAGGAACTGGTAGTAAGAAATTTGAAGTATTGTCATTGTCAGAAAGGAATTAGATATTTTGCAAGAAAGAAAGTGAGTGAAGCGATTATATATAATGTATGAAATTGCCCATGAGAATGTCACTTGATACTGGTTTCACAGAAAATGTGATTCTAGTTCTTATGGTATGTATGTTTGAACATTTTTACTTCAAATACAGATATCAATGAGTGTGAAGATGGTGTGGATCAGTGCGATGAAAATTCTCATTGTGGTAACATCAAAGGTTCATACTTTTGTCAGTGCAATTCTGGATACAGTGGGAATGGATACGTGTGTTTTGGTGAGTTTCTATCTGGAGTCATATGTTATATTCCCATCTTTAAATGACTAATTTAAAACGACCTCAACCTGAGTTGCGACTTTATCCTATTATTGAAGTGATACCAAAGGCATTTCATTCTTGGAAGGCACAGTGGCAGAGAAGCTGTCTGTGCTTTCTCGTCCATGTAGATAAAAGCTCAGCAACTTTTAAATTAATTTATCTCAAAGAAGGAGCATCCTCAGCTTTGTTTCATTTGTTCATTTTAATTAACTTTAACGCCTTACTCAGCGCAGAGTGGATCATTTTGAATGCGGGGTTCTTAATCCTGCTGACATGGACACCTGGCAGATGGAAAGTGTCCCTGGAAAGACAAGGAAATTTAAAACTTACTCAGATGTGAACCCCAGACTTATACATGCTGGCCCCATTCATGACTAACTCTACCACATTTGTTGATGCAGGGTATGTTGGATTTGTTAAGAAGTCTCCACAACACTTATCTGTAATGCTACATGGAAAAACAGTGGGAGATTTATATAACATACTCTGAGTGGGCCTGGGAATATAAGTAATACTCTGTCACATAGGCAGGGGGAGAAATTTCCTTGTTGATGGGGTGTCACTCATACATCCTGCCCGATCCTAGGTAGATAGGCTATAGCCTCTTTGCTCCGAACTTTCTCAGCCTTTTGTTTCAGTCTCTTGCGTTAATTTTTGACTTCTTACGCTTCTAGAAATAAACCCCTTACATCTCAGAGTATGGAGTTCACTTTCAAAATTATTTATTCATGTTACAGTGTGAAAAACTCATATATAAAAATCAAGTGAAATGCTCCGCTTGCAAAATGACTTATTTGTCTCTCATTCCCCTATTATATTTGACACAAATAAGACATTTCGCAAGTGAAAGGTTATTCTTGATTTTCTTAGTTAAACTCATGCACAATTGAAATGGTAATCAATCTTCTTCTTGGACAGATATAAATGAATGTGGCGAAAAGAACGGGGGCTGCGAGCACAAATGCATCAACCTGCCTGGATCCTATGCCTGCACTTGCCAGGACGGATTTACTCGAGATGCTGATAATATCACCTGCACAGGTCTGTTTGATGTGTCTGCAGAGAAAGCTCGAAACAGTATTCTTTGTTTGTTGTAATATGGTTGGGATACTTGAATATGAAGTCATATTGTGGGTTTTACTCTAAAATGTTGGCTTTTACAATGACTTTTCTTGTAACATTAACATTTCATTGTTAGCAATGTCTCACTGTTATTGATGTCTCACTGTTACCGATATCTCACTGTGCCAGAGTGGATGAAAAATAACACACACAAAAAAAAGAACAGAGGATATTTGAAGCAATAAAAATCACTGGTTATAAATACAATCTTGATCTTAAAATGAGGTTAGTGTTTAGCTGTATGAATTGCTAAAAGTGAACAGGAAGAGACACTTAGCATGTACGAGACTACATAGTCCTATTATGCTATATGATCCATAAACAAAGGAAACACAGTTTAGCTAGCCTGGAGATCCAGTTGTGGTCCCCCTCTCTGACATTCTTTGGTAATTCCAGAATTATATATTATTTGTTGTGGCTATTGGTATATAATTTCCTTCAGGCCCCAATTTTTTGCATGTCTTCTATGAAACAATTGTAGTGAAGTTTAACTAAATGTTCTTAGTAATTTTCAAATAGGATTGGGGCATATTGGTACCAAATGTACTCTGAAGTGATAGTAGAGTTTTAACCTGAATTTATGTCAATAAGAGCTTGATAAGAGTTTTATAAACATCTACACTCTTCAGGGGGGTTTTGAAAATATCCTTGTGATGTAGGCCAATTTTTCTGCAGATATTGATGAATGCGCTGTTGACAACGGCTCTTGCAATCAAGTCTGCAAAAACACCCCGGGCAGTTATATCTGCGAGTGCTCAGCAGGGTACGGCCTCCATATTGATGGGAACTCATGCGTTGGTGAGTGCTCCTGTAATGTTTGATGTGGCAGACACTGGCTGGATTTGTATGTATAGCAATGTAACAGACAGAGCTGGTTTCATGTGTGACTGAAAACTTAACTGATGATCGAGGTCCTTTGTTCAATACCAACAGACATTCTATCCCCGCAGTTTTACGCAGAAAAAATTCTGAAATTATGCAAACTGAACCCAAAAATGTGAAATTATGCGATTCTGTTAATTTTAACAAAGAATGGTAAAGAAAAATAATCAGAAATTATGCCAAAAATGATCAAATTTTGCTAAATTATGCAGAGTACGTAAACCCCACGGACAGGACATTAGACACAAGTGCACAAGGAAGAGCAATCAAGTATGTGCCTCATGGGCTCAGTAAATGGACATGAGTCTAGTATATCAAAGATCCTAGATTACATGGTATAGGATTGTATGTATTGTCCATAGAGCAATTGAAATATACTCAATAGGGAATGCATTTTAGCTCCTGGTGTGTGTTTCATTGTTATCTTCTTCCTCATACACAGTCAGTTTTGTGTGAAATTATGTAAACCGAAGAAGAGTTTTGTAAACTTGTTGAAAATGCTTTTTAATTCATCTGGTTGTTGTTTTAAAATGACTCTATGGGTACACCCCAAAATGGCCCAACTCTGTAGAATTGTGGAGTAGAATACAGCTTACTGGAGAAATATTGAGCTGTCCGAGGGTGTAGTGAGAAAAATGTTCAATCTATGATTATCACAGAATGTCAATGTTTTGTGGAGAAACATTAACATTTTCTCACCTATTTTCCTTAGACTTAGAAACATTTGACACAGTTTTGTGAATTTTCCTTTTTTGTACTTGAAGTGTCTTTTATACAAGAGAGCAAGGTGCTAACCTCTTCACCCGTGATTCAAGATCCTTGTTGCTTGTCTTAAGCTTGGCCTGTGGAATTCTATGCACCATTAAAAATTTGAGAGATGATGATCATTGATTGTGCCTTGATGTTTTCTTTTTCTTTGAATAAAAAATTTTACTATAAAGCACTGACACAGATATTTTTGTGTCTGCTCCACAGATATTGATGAGTGTGTCTCTGGCAATGCCCAGTGTGAGCAGATGTGTGTCAATACGGTTGGCTCATACAGTTGTGGGTGCACAGAAGGTTTTGTGATAGGGAGAGATGGATTAACCTGTGAAGGTAACAACGATTTATTTTTTTTTCTCAATAAATTTTCCTTTTTTATTGGCAAGATATCAGATATTGTATTTCAAAACTATGCCTTGGTCAGTCTCATTAAGCTATGTACTAGGTAAGTCTTCTCTTCATTTTCACCACATATAGCACTAGATAGGCTACTTGTGTAAACAGTGAATCAATTGGAAAGTCAGAAGTTGAAATTCTTTACTTTAATTATTAAAAAAAACAACAAACAATTTTGTCTCTCACAAGACTGATTTCGTCCAAGTTCTTTCACTCATTCCAATCATAACATGAGCTAATTCTATCATTATAAGATCTCCCCCAAAAATGATACTCCCTACCCTTTTTACCATTCATTTTTTTCAAACTTCCAAGAAAGTTCATTTTGGGCTGAAAAATGAATACATGAGTAGAGAAACCAAACAACTTTTTGAGAAATGGGGATACCTGTTTTCTCCCATGGATAATAAAAAAAGTTTAAGTTTAAGCTACAAAATTATATTAATTAAGCAGTGTATATTACACTTACACAAGAGTGGGGGTGCGGGAAGATGTGAGTATTGTCATATGTAACAGTTGAGTGAGTTAATATATTCAACCTGAACCACCCCCCCCCCCTCCGAGACAATAAAAAAATTTCTTCATAAATTCAACTGGATACTTTTATGAAGGCTTCATATGTTCAAGTTTATGAATGTTTTGCATGTTGAATTTGTGTTTCCTTACCTCACCTCACATATTAAACTAGTCAAAATTTTATCAGTGACAATTGAATCCACCTTTTATAGGAAGAAATAAGAAAGGCATACATGTCAGAAACTTACAGAAAGCCTGGGGGGATTTTGAATAAGGGTAACACATTCTAAACATAATAAGCTTAAAAAATAAGGAATATCTACTATCATTTTTTATTTTTCATAACGGTTGCAATAATAACTTATTTCTTCTACTCTTTCTGCTAATGAAAATCAGACATTGATAAGATCATTAATTTAAGTGGTACACATTGAAGGAAAGAAGATTCTTATAAAATCTCACCCCCTAACTTTTCGTGTTAAGTCATTACCAGATGTGACCAGGGCAATGGAGGCTGCGATCAACGATGTCTGACTAGAGAGAGTGGAGAGCTTTACTGTCAGTGCGGCCCGGGCTACACTCTCAACAGGGATGGGAAAACTTGTGATGGTATGGAGGCTGGCACTGAGCTTGAGCACTTGAAAATGGCTATACATGTTGCATGATGGTCTTTGTATGTATATGATTGTTACGCTTGTGTGTGTGTGTGTGTGTGTGTGTGTGTGTGTGTTTATGTGTGTGTGTTTATGTGTGTGTGTTTGTGTGTGTGTGTGTGTGTGTGTATATATGTGTGTGTGTGTGTTTGTGTGTGTGTGTATATGTATGTGTGTGTGTGTGTGTGCGTGCATGACACACATGTGTATATATTTGAAACTTGGCTGGGTGCAAAAAGTAACATGACCTATGTAAAAGAAACAACAATATTTTGTTTGCTCAAGTGAAATAAAAGGTGTTATAATATAAGTAAAAGTTAAAGTAATACAGAAGTAACATGAATAATTCTTGACTTATCATTGTGTCATGCATCGTTAAACTTTTTGTACTTGTGATGATTCAAAATCCATTTATCTTCGCCTTGAGTTGTATAACTCCCCCTGACTTAATAAAAGTGAGTTTTATATGGGCATGTAGCCATATGTGGCTGGCAGTGGATGCAGGGCTGATATGCAAGATCTGAGACGGGAGAGGCGTTTAGTTAAAAGTAACTTGCTTACTTGATTCTGGGAACAACATCATAGCATTCTGGGCATTGCCATACATGCTCCTCTCCCTGCTCCAATAAAAATAGTAAAACATTGTCAAGTTATTTTGCATTTATCATCTCTATATGTAATTTTTACATTTTTTGATAACTGCAAATTAGCTTTGGAATTTTTCTTCTGTCATTACCTGTCCCAGGAAAGGAACAAAATCTAGGTTATATGAGTATAGTAAGGGTACAAAAAAATGAATGGTAAAGGGAGCAAAGAAGAAGTAAAGGAGAAGGTTACGCAACAAGAATACTTTTGATCTAAATGTGTGTGTGTGTGTGTGTGTGTGTGTGTGTGTGTGTGTGTGTGTGTGTGTGTGTGTGTGTGTGTGTGTGTGTGTGTGTGTGTGTGCGTGTTTGTACACAAAA